CAGCTCCTGCAGGGTGTACGCGAAGGTCCCGCGGTGTTGCTTCAGCACTTCCTGCAAGGCTGCCGCCGCTACTGCATCCATCCCTCCTCCGAATATCCAGTCATCGTCTGGCCCTCGGTCTTCCTGTCCCGTTTTCTTCACTACCGCTTCCGTATCTCCTTCAGTCTCTCCTTCCATCCCCTCCATCGCCATGTACGCCCATCCTTCGTCTATCCTCTCGTCGTATCTCTCCTCCATCCTGGCTAAAGCTTTCTTATGCCATTCCGCCGACTCGAGCTCCCGATTCTGCTCGCTACACGCGATATCTCTCTGCAGCTCCTTCGCCTTTAGGTGCATTCGCAGGGTCTCCAGCAGCCATATCATTACGTTCACGTCCATAGCTCGGCCTAAGGCGGCACGACGCTGCTGCTCTGTCACTTCGGGGTGTGCTGTGGCTCCCCACAAGTGCCCCATGGCTGCTCTCGCTCATTCGCCGTCGGCTGCTCCCAGATTCCCTTCCGCACGTCGTAGATCATCCCTGGTCCTGGCAGCTCCCCTTCCATGACAAACCCCCGTGCCTCTGCGTAGGACACTAGCGTGGGCAGAGCCTGCCTGGGTTTGCCCGGCTCGTTACATTGATACTGCGACGGGTGATCGGGACAGGTCACGGGGGCCGGCATGCGATTTGGCTCTAATATATCGCTCACTAAGCGCGGCTCCGGGCGTTGCATCAGCGCCAACGAATGTCGCAACGCCGCCGTGGACATCACATTCTGCCAATATCTCCGCGATCGGTGCGCTCGAGATCCCAGCTACGCCGCGTCGACTGGTACCCCCCCTTCCCAGTACCCCTGATATCTCCTCAAACGCCCGCTTCACCGGCTCTCTCTTATCTTCCGCCATGTCCACGTTCTCCAGGACAAATGCAACTTCCCCCTGGCGCCGCTGAATCATCTCCAACACCCGTTGGAGGTCTCGGAATGACGCTCCTCTTGCGTCTTCCATACCCCGGCCTTCCCCTGCCCTGGAGTACCCTTGACACTCCCATCTAGTGATGACCAGGTCCACCTGCCCCCAGTCGTCCAACACCCTCTCGGAGATCTCTCGGACATCGTGTACTCCCCGTTCTCCCACATCTGATCTGGGTACTCTTCCGCTAGCAGCTTGGCATGGTGCCGTGCCATTTTCCGTACCATCGGATCGCGCTCTACGTGGATCCACTGCTTGATAGTGCACCCTGCTCGTAACGCCGCAGCCAGACCGCTCCCGATTCCTCCGTATAACTCCACTACGCGGAGGGACCCCTCTAGGGCCCATACGGGACTGATGCACTCTGACAGGGCGGGTGGGTCCTGTCCCGATGTCAGCTTCTCGATCGTCGTTCGTGTTCCTCCCCGTACCTCTCCCAGTGCCATTCATCTAGCTCCTCGGTCAGATCCTGTCTCTGCGCCTGATACGCTTCCCGCGGCTCCTGCCGAACGAACCGTACCAGCAGCGTGCCTACGGAGCTCTCTGGGTCCCAGTACTGCACCCGGTACAGAACCTTCTCCTGCCAAGTGCATATGGTGGCTCCTACGCGGTAGAGGAGCTCCATCCCTACGAGGACATCATAGTCCTCGGATTCCGAGACCCCGCACTGCAGACGGATGCAGCACTCCTTCTCGGTCCCGGGTAGGAGCACCACTTCCACCGGTCTTCTCGTCTTTGTCATCCACTTGGGCTCCCCTCCTTCGGCGGTCATGAGTAGGATCCCCCTCTCTATGGTCCGGCCGGCCACATCCAACTTCAGCTGCTTGGCGAGTCCCTTTCCGATCAGCACATGGTGTGCGCCCGTATCGATGATGGCCTGCTTCACGGGTAGGCCTCCCACCGTACTACTTCCCTTCTCCGCTATCAACACCGACGCTTGGCACACTAGCCTTTCATTCGGGTGTCGACGCATGTCAAGATGCCTAGTCCGTTCTGTTTGGCTACTCCGTTGGCGAGGCCCGCTAGTAGCATCACTGTCTTGGGACTGGCTCGCTCTCGGTCGGAGTCGGAGGTCGTCTCGCGCCCTGGGATATGCCATCACCGCATACTCCCGCTTGTAGTCCTCTTCCCCCTCCTCTTCGTCTTCCTCAATCTCTTCGTACGCCAGCAGCGCCCGAGCTTTCACCTCCTTCGGATTAGGTAACTGCTTCAGTCGCTGCTGTAGGCGACAGACCTCGGCTTGGAGCTCCTCCCTTGTTGCCCCCGACGCCTCTCTTGGCCAGCTGTAGCATTCTTCCTTCCGATGCCCTCGTTTCCCACATTGCTCGCAGATCGGCGCTTTAGGGCAATCCCGTTTCAAGTGCCCGTGCTCTCCGCAAGTGTGACAGATCCGAGGTTCCGCGCGGCTACCGCTCCCGAGGAATGTCTCCGGTACGGCCATTGCCGCCCAGCTCGTCTTTGCCCGGCTCCTCCCTTCTGAATCTACCAGATCTAGCAGTCGCTGCGCCTGTTCCGTCTTCTTCGCCAGCAGGTAGACCTCTTTGAGGGTGATGTCAGCGCCTACGCCGTAGACGGTGCTCCGCACCACCCCCCGTAGCTCGTCTTCCAGACCCCGTATGAACTTCCTCACGAGCAAGCGCTCGTCCTTGCTTTCCAGATCCTCAGCTAGTTCGCGGAGTCGGCAGTAATAGGCCAGCAGGGACTCGTCCTTCTTCCGCCTGAAGTCCCGAAACTCCTCGACGCGCGCCTTTGTCTGTCCGACGAACTCCTTTCGTAGCAGCTGAAGAAACAGGGCCGTAGGGTTGGAAATTTCTCCTTCCGCCAATTCTTCGAGGACCTCGTCGCGCGTCATGCGGTAGAACGTCTCCGCTCGCCCGCCAACGTTCCCGCCATTTTCCGGAAGAACTCCACCGGGTCGTATCCATCGCGCTCCCAGCATTACTGCACGGTCTCGAGAGCTGCATGAGGTAATTCTTCAGACTTGGTCCCGCACCGGGAATGCCCGTGTAGCGTTCTGCTACCTCCACCTTTGGCAAGTTCGTCGCCTTCCAGCGTCCTCCCCGATTTCTGGATGCTTCATGCGGATCCCCGGGTACGTGCGTGACGCCGCTATACACCAGGGTCCCTCCTTGCCGCGCCTCCTCAGCCGGGCCCACGTTCGGTGTCCAACGCGGGTCGGGATCTCCCTTCTTAGTAGTCATCCCCGGCATCCCGGTCTGCGGGGTCGCTACCTCTTGGTTCCGCCACCGCGTTCGAACTTCCTCGGTCCATCGATGGTCTCGCGGCGTATCTCCCGGGTCCGAGACAGCCGTACGATCTCTGTCCATGTTGTCCGCAGCCGTGCGGGCTCGTTGATGGGGCGTCCGGTATATGGGTGAATTCGTTTCTGTGCGGGCCTGACCTGGCCGCCCACTCACGACGACAGCGTTGGCTCGCCACCCCGCAGTAGGCTTAAGTTCTCCAGTGTCGTTCCACAGTCGAGTTCGTACTAAATCTCGGCTGTTCATCGGCAGCTTTCCTTGCGTAATCGTTGTAAAGTCTCCAGCCCCTGGCCAAGACGGCTATTCAAACCCTAGCTCGGCAGGCTGAGATGGTTAGCGAACGTTCTCTTCAGTGCTTGCGCAGGTTGGCTCCTCGTGCTTAGACACGTATGAATACGTAGAATGTTGTAAGCATAAGCGTGAAAACAATCACGCAAGCATCTCTCTAAGCTTGCCTAATTCCTTAAGTACCAGCGGCGGGTTACCGTTGTACTAACGGTCCCCTTTCGCCCGCCAACTTCTCGTTTCTGTTTGTTCGCTTCGGCATTCAGCCGGTCCACCCTTATCCTGCCTACTGTATCCCCTGATTATCTTATAAGTCACGAATTTATATCGAAGGCACCTACGCAAAGATTAGAATCGTGACACAGGTTCAAGTCATGAGCTCCATTCACCATACAAGGGGCGGGGGGAGCTTCAAGCTGGGAAGAAGGACAGGGCACTGGGGGCAGGGGAGGAAGTATACTTGAAGCAGGCCAAGCATGACCTGATGGACATTGGGCTGAGCACGGAACGTTGGAGAGTTAAGGAAGTGAATGACTCTCGAGTGGTGGTGCTCGTGGGCGAGCAAGGGCAGAGGAGGACGGATCATTGCACCAACGTGGCTAGGGCCAAAGAGAGACCCACGGGGCGAAAGGACACACAGCCACATAAGGAAGGCATCCATCGGCAGCCTGCAGGGGCTCAAGGACAGCCGCGGAGGGGGCAAGTGGGGAGAGTGGCTGGACTCAAAGGAAGGATGAGTAGAGAGATGAGGAGCCTTCAGAAGCCAGGCTGAGAGTCGCGGGAGAAGAAGAGGAGCCAGGAGATACAGGAGAGGCGAGAGCAGAGCAGGAGGAAGAGGAGACAAGAGGTGCAGGCGAGCCGAGAGCCGAAGATTCCGATAGCTGTCACGATTCTAATCTTTGCGTAGGTGCCTTAGATATAAATTTGTGACTTATAAGTTTGAACAGAGATTGAACCGGCCAAACAGTTTTGCCTATTCTAACCCGGCCAAACAGATCCGCCTCAATACAAAGGGCAATAAAGTAACTCTAGTTCGGTTCGAACAAAAAAAAAGAAAAAAAAACCCTTAATCCGAACCAGGCTTTGGTATGCCTGCCCATGCCCCGTTGACAGCATGTGATTGTGTTTCTGCCTCCTGTCTAGTGCTCAAGTTGTCCAAGCATAAGTGTAGAGTCACATGGCAGTGCCACATACCAACCTCAAATCACATGCATATTCTCTCCTGTGTCGATCTTCCCACCTCCATTGCAGCAACACCACTGGCACGGGTCTCACTTGTCCTCCTACTGACAGCACCAGCTGCAGCCAAATCCATTCGCTATTCACGGCCTTCTGCCAGAATTGTCAAAACACCTGTTCGACATGCCAAGCCAAGAACAATCGGGTCAATAGGGGCCAAAGAGCTGTGCCTGTTTGACTTCAGCCAAGGCGTGCTTGTGCTGTTGTGATGGTCATCACATTTTCTCTGCTTATCCGACATGATTGTGTTGTGTTGTGCTCGTGCAGCATCATCTGGAGGTGGAGGCGGCGGGGGTGTACCAATAGGAGCCATCATCGGCATTGCTGTTGCTGCTGTAGTCGTTCTCCTCCTGCTTCTGGCTGCCATGCTGCTCTGCTTCAGGCGCCAGAAGCAACGAAGTTCAAGAGGTACGAGCAGCGGGATTCCAGGGCTGAGATGTGCTGCATGTGCTCAGATGATCTGCTGCCCACCTCCACACCGCCTCAAAGCTCCGAGTTGAGACGTTCCTCTTCCTTTTCTGCACGATATGGACAGCGCGAGGGCTCTCTAATTGCCTCCTCGCCATTCACCCACCACCCGATGAGCAGGCCCGGGAACCAGCCTGGCAGCCTCGCATTGCACGGAGTTTTCATTGGAGGAGGTGCTCAAGGCCACCAACGACTGGTCGCAGGACAATCTGCTTGGCTCGGGTGCCTTTGGTGATGTCTACAAGGGCGTCTCTCCCCGCAATGCCACCACACCGTGGGCTGTCAAGCGCACCAAGCTCGTAGCCGTGGACTTCCAGAAGGAGGTGAGCGCACTGTGCATGAGGAAAAAAAAAAATTGGTTCTCCCTTACTTCCACAAAAGAAAGAAACTCAACCTAGAATAGCGCTACACATATTGTGATCTGTAAATCTCATTTTCCCTAGTTGAGCAAGAAGAAACAATGTTTTTCCTTCCCTATTCAACCTGCTCTTTCTTTCTTTCTCCGGCTTCTTTTTCCCGCTCTTGTGTTCTGGTTCTCCAGGTCATGCAAATGGCTGACAAGAACCATCCCGACATTGTGCGACTGTTGGGGTTTGCAGTGGGAGGGGACGTCAGGTTTACGATTGAGCAAGTCCTGATTTACGAGTTTGTGCCCAGCGGTGACCTCCACAAGTGGATAGAACGTGTTCGTGTTCGCCCCTACACGAACACAGCCGTTTGCCGAACCGAACACTGTTCGGTTCGGCGAACACTTTGAGCAAAAACAGGTGTTCGCCGTTCTCCTGTGAAGGCGTGTTCAGGCGAACCTCGAACACGTTCGTGTTCGTCGCGGGGCAAATTGCAGCAGCGGCCCGAACACGAACGTGTTCGGGCGATTATCGAACACTGTTCGGCGAACACTTAAAGCCAAAAAACAAAACCTGTTCGGTTCGCCTCGAACGTGTTCGAGGCAAACCGAACAGGTGTTCGTTTTTTTTCTCAACCCTAGGACCAAGTAAGTGTTAACAAATTATTGTAAAGCATTAACTTGAGCAGTGCCACTCATGGTAGGCCAGGCCACTCATGTTGTCCGCCTGATGCTTGCTGTGAAGCTCATCCCTTGGCTTTGACATTGTTGCAGACGCACCTGCTCCTCTGAGTCTCCAGCAGCGATTGGACATTTTCATTGGTGTTGCGCGTGGCTTTGAGGACCTCCACAGCTTTGACATTGTGCATCGCGACATCAAGCCCGCCAACATCCTCATCACCAATGACATGCAGGCAAGCGCGTGTGGTTGCACAAGGATGCACGGTAGCTTAATACTGTCAGGGAGTAATCAGTACTATAAATATGAGTCCCTCACATCTATCTCTAAATAAGTGCCAACTTTCATGCGCTTGCACCTTTCTTCCTCCATCACCTGTTCCCTTTTTGGTGCTAATTCGTACTATCATATCATTCGACCACTCACCAGGCCAAGATTGCAGACTTTGGGCTGGTGAGGGTGGGAGAGGGCACGACTGTAGGCACGACTCAAAACATGGGAACACCAGGCTATGTGGATCCGGTCTACTCCCGGACGTCTAAGGCCACCGCAGTTAGCGATGTCTACAGGTGAGTCAAGAGTCATATCACAATCGTGCCATGTCATCCAATGATCCTGGGAAATGTGTTTCATTTTTTAGTGGGGGGGGCATATACCCCCCTTAGAGCGAGCATACACATGTTTCATGGTGAGGGCTTCTAAAAGTAGGAACACTAGATACAGGTTTCAGCTTTTCTACCCTAGACAGTCAAACTACTTTTGCAAACCCTGTCTATGTTTCAAGTTCCGCAATCACACCTTTGCTTGCGTTGGCCAATCAAATTCCTTCACACATTTTGTAACCACGATTTGCCCTACTGTCTATCAACATTAGTAAGCTTGACCCGCGCGATCCGAACTTTGGGCTGCGGGCTTTGAGTGCTTAATCTGCATGGGTGTGCAGTTAGCATTTGAGTTTTTCAGACATAGAACAACCGCTCCAGCCTAAATAGTTCGATACCCACCATCCTTCTCTTGCATATGTTATATCTCCTGATTTTTTTTTATTTTTCAAGCCAGATCCGGTCGCTCACCATCAATCTCCTCGACAGTTTGTTTCACAAGCAGGGAATGGCCGTGATAATGTACATCATATGCATCACACCATCGTGTTTCTCTCATCGTCCCTCGCACGTTGCAGCTTTGGTGTGCTCATGCTTGTGGTGCTCACAGGACGCCCTCCAGTCTCTGAGGATGGTGGGGAGTCCAAGCAGATCACGTCGTGGGTAAGTTCCCCACAAACAGATTGCTGGATGTTGCTGATTGTTGCCGATTTTTTTTCTTTTTACCAACGCAAAGGTAACTGCGCTGATGGCTGACTGATTTGCGCTCGACTTTGTTCACACTTTCTGCAATTTGCTCTCCATCAGGCGTCCAACTGCCTGTCATTGAATGACATAGAGAGCCTCAAGGACCCGGGCTTGGAAGCCCCAAGGGATGCGGTGCAGCGCCTGGCTGAGCTGGCAGTGAGCTGCACCGTGGAGCGCAGTGCAAGCCGCCCAAGTATGGCGCACATTGCCACCCAGCTGCAGGCTGTCAGGGAGGAGGTGGCGGGGAAAAAGGAGTTGTGCGCCGCTATTTAGGTGGATGCGGAGGTCCAAGAGATGAAGGACGCTGTTGCGGGTGTGGAAAGTTTTGAGACACAACTTAGAATGATTGGGGATTAGCCCTCTGGATAGATATGCTAATAACTAGCAGTCACTCTTTCCGTAACGGTACCGAACACCACCCCGCCCGTATTTTCTATTAGTGATGTTTGGGACAGATAATCACAAATCTATTGGTAGTTGTTGCCATAATAGAAGGTTGTGTGCAGGTTGGGCAGAGAGAAGCTGAAGTAGACAGAAGGTTGCTTTGGCAGCAAGCAAGCCAGCTGAACATGCACTTCCAAAAGTAGGGGTTGTATGCGAAATAGTAAACTCTAGTCAGGAAAAATGGTATGCACTATTAGAGCTTTACACACACTCTTCCCTCCCCACCATCACCCTTTTCCTGCCACATTCCTCTCTCGGTCATCTGATTTAAGCCCAGCATTTCCCTCCCATAATTTCTCCCTTGCTACCTGCACATGCCGTATTCTCCCTGACAAAACACCCCCCCCCCCGAATTGTATATCCCTGGGTAGCTTGTGCGGGGTGGGTGCTATAGCTGACCCCGTTTGTACTATACCCCCCCTTTTTGGGTGACTTTCTATAACACCCCTCTTTTCTTACAGATTCCTATTATAGCTGTTATCGAGTCAGATTCCTTACGGGAGGATATCGCGAGAATCCCTCCCTAGATGAAATTTCGCGTGTACTTTCACCTAGAATCTGCCGACATTTCCCCCCTCCCACAATCTCGCTGTCGCCACGCTGGCGAATCTTTCGCTGCAAACTGTGATGTTAAAACGACCATTGAAACACCCAAGTTGTCTAATTAAAAAATACTCTTGTTACGAATAGTAATTATTGAAACATTACTATGCACTCCTCACCGCAGCAAGTGAAGTTCAGACTACCGAGGATGAAGACGAACTGGCGGAAGTAACACGAAGGGTCGCACAGTTACGAAAGCATCTGGACCGTCGGGCAGACAGCATTAGGCAGCAGCAGTGGCAAGGATTCTGCCCGTACACTTTCGTAACCGTCTGGAGTTGCACGGTTGGATTTCGCTGTAATAAAGGAATGTACCCCTTAGAGTACATGGCTAGCTAGGTCGTTTTGCATTCCCCTGTACTCTTATTTATTTGTACTTGCATGTTTTTATTATCTCAAGCATTTACATTCACTCTGCTATTGAGGTCAAGGGCCCACCACCACTAAATCTGTAGTTTGCGTACCTTCCAGAGGTGATCCTGGCAGCGATCAACACCTGATCGCAGCATGGTAGGAGAGCGACTCGGGAATCCTTCGCACTGCCAACTCCGAAATCTACGACGATCGGAAAGTGGCGTCCGGCACACGCTCCCGTGTGAGAATGGCCGGAGGATCTGGAGGTCAGACAAATCTGACAGCTGAAGCGCAGACCAACGCGGTTGCGACAAACGAGGAAACGACGACGATTGGAACCGCCATCCTCGCACAACTGCTTCAGCGACTCACGAGCTTGGAGCAAGAACTCCCAACATTGCAGAACGGCGACGCAGGAACACCTTCCCAACCCTCTCAACCGGCCTCGAATGGCCAGAACTCCGCCCCGCACACATTCTCCCTCGACACAAATGGCTCAACACCCAAGACTCCCTGTCCCAGTGAAGAAGCAATTCTCTCTGCACAATCAAGGTTTTGAGCATATCAAAAATAAAGACAAGTGTGTGCTTTGACGGCAGAGACTTCTATACCTGGAGCTTTGAGCTGGAGCTGCTGCTTCAAAACGCGCAGATTTTTCACTACTTCGACGGGAGTTACTCGGGACCTGCTCAAGACACCGACGACGTCAGAACGAAGTACTACAACGAGTCCCTGATGGCGTACGGGGTTATTCTGCGGAACATGTCGCCGACGGAGCAATTGACCATACGCTCATACAAAACGTCACCTGCTCCAGCCCTTGATGCTTGGCGCCTCCTAAACGGCGTGTATGAACCGAAGGATTCGGTTTCGTCCAGCCGCCTACTCCAGCAGCTACTGGAGACAAAAATGGCACCACGAGAGAAGGCCAATAGCTACCTGAAAGGCTCGGCCCAGAGTGGCGACCCTGCAAGGCGCTTCTTCGACAGCAGGGGGTCATCTCGGAGGCCGCCCTTTGCGCCGCCCTCCTCATCGAACAACGGGATATGGACCAGCAGCGACCAGCGCCGCGACGAGACAGAGAACGCCTCGCCTTCTACACCGACAAGACTGAAGAGCGACGGGCGCGACGCCTCTACTACAAAATCTACAGAAACTTTGGGCACCTAGCAGATCGATGCAAATTCCAATCTCGCCCTTGCCAGACCAACCCGAGCACTTGGTCCGGCTGTCAAGACGCACAAAACGACACGCGTCTCGCCCAGGGGTATCAACCCCCATCGCGCAACCTGAACCCAACAGTTCAGCACCAGCAGCAGCAGCCGTCACAGACTGCTCCCGTCCGCAACGTCATAGGGAACATGACAATGACAAGCGGATCACGTCGTCCGCGCGAACGCTCACCAACACCTGAGTCGGCACCTCACCCAATCGGAGTGTTCTCGAACAACAACCCGTTCAGCACGCTTCACGACTTCAGAGACGGCGACAAACAAGACTGGAACCTTCCAGTCCCGCTGCTTGAAAGCCCTCCGCACGTACCTGATATGCGGCCGGCACCAATCGATTGGATCGCGCGCGAACAATTTCTCAAGGTCGACACACCGCACATCGTTACCCCGCGATTGGCGCTGCTCGCGCGTAACGACAACAGGCGCTACAACACGTGGTACCTGGATAGCACATGAGCGCTACATATCCAACGCCATCACCACCCCCGCCATGACCTACGTCACCGTGGCGAACAACATATGCCTGCGCGCAAGCGCGCAAGGAATCGTGGTGCTCAAGGCACACGGGAGCAGGACGCACATCACGTTGAACGATGTGCTAATCGTTCAGAATCTGCGCTTCAATCTTCTCTCGGCGGCGCAACTCATAGATTCCGGAGTTGTCCTCAGCACCGACCCCGAGGCGCGCGACATCCTGCTCCACTACGCCCCGCAAAACAAGGCGCGCAAGCAGATCGGAAGAGCGCACTCTGAAAATGGAGTTTACATCCTCGACTTTGATATTCCCGACTGCAGCGGCGACTCGCAAGAGCTCATCGACCTCGTCCCCCTGCGCTTCGAACACATTCATCGCCGCGACTGGAAGAATCCTGACTGACGCCTCTGTGTGGCGCATCACCCACATCCGCGCGAACTGGCGCTGCACAACCCTGCTCCAGACGGGACCTCCAGGGACTGCCACACACCAACCTCCTCGACGAGCGCAGTCGCCGGTCATGGCCTCGCCCCCATAGCAGAAGCAGAACGTGAAGCACCGCCTGAGGAAGGCATGTCTAACCTGGAGTTAGAAATCGCGACACGCGTTGTCTTCGGCACGCCAGATCATCCCCTCCCTGGACCTGCGTCTCAACATCTTCACGGCATGCTGCGCAGCGTTGGCGTTGGCATACCGCGACCTTACACCAAGGAAAAGGCAGCAGAGATATACTCTCACTATCACGACTCGAAGAAGCAGCTCACCGTGGCGGAAGAAGAAGAGTTGGCGCGACGCGAAGCGGAGGAGCTTCGCCAAAAAAGTCTCGCCGAGTCGTGCAGTACACTTGCCTGGGAACAAGAAGAGCTGCGTGACTGGAACTTACCCACACCACGGTGTGCTTGGTCTTCCCAGCATCCTCAGATAATGAAGACCGTCCAGTGAGCACCACAAGGATGAGCACACCAAAGCTGCAACGTGCGAGAGGTGGTGACTGCAATGCGATGGTGAGAGCAACTCGAGAGCAGTGCAACGGTGAGATGCATACGACAACTCTATTTTGTGAATTCAAATAACCTGTAGAGGATCTCGATGGTGTCCAGTCAAAAAGGGAAGGATACCAGGTAATCAACCAACTAGGTTAGATGGGTTGACCAAGTAGCATAGTCCCATTACATGCTTGTTCGAGGTGCAAATTTAATGCATAAACTAATATCGACATGGCATCTGACGGGGTACATGCCACATATTGTAATCGTTGGAGTCTCCTTCATTGGAGCCAACTCCTAGAGTCTTCTGGCACACATAGCACGACCTGTATATGACTCTTGGCTCACCTGTATACATCACTGGCTGTGGTGGCCTTGGACGTCCGATTGTAAACCAGATCCACATAGCCCGATGTTCCCATGATTCGAGTTGTGCCCACTGCCGTGCCCTCTTCCACCCTCACCATCCCAAAGACTGCAATCTTGGGCTAGTGGGTGGTTGGATATGTGATATATGAATGCACCATGTTACGAGTGCAATTGAGTGAGCGAGCCAGAATTGCACTATCGAAGAAAAACAGTACATCGAGCGAAGGCATGAGCGAAGAATAAATAGCGAAGCTACAGTGGTAACGGTATGAAAATGGGGTGTGCTACGGGCCTAGTGCCGAGGTTGGGAATTGTCGAGGCGGAGGTCCGAAGTGTGGTTTACCAACCGAACCGTGAGGTTGGGTCGCGTCGTCAACAGTGGCGGGAATAGTGGTCAAGGCGAGTGTCGCAAGTGGTAACGGTACACTGTTAAGAGTTGTAGCACAGTCATTTACTGTGCGTGGTACACAGAAACTTCTCGGGAAAGCAGCGCACTTGAAAAACGGTGAAAAACCGTGAAGTAACTGTAAGGCGTCGTGAAAAACGGTGAGAAACCGTTTTGTAACTGTGAACGTTCGTGATAACGGTAATTCCACACGAATGTTCATGATTGCGTACAAGAAATCATGAATGTTCGCGAAGGGAGTCAGCAGGGGAGTTTGACAGAAGTGCAGTTTGAATTGACGGGGCAAATCAAGCCAAATTCAAGAGCAGTTCGACAACCGTTCTCCTTGGCGGATATGACGAAGTCCTGAAGTAAAATATAAATGCGTGCTTGACCAACTGCTTTGTGCTTTCCAATGCTTGTGT